AGCTTGTCGCTCGGTCGGCTGTTGCTACCCCCCTGCATTCCCCCTCTGTAACATTATCATTGTCATCCCCCATTCCCCCACCTCTTCGAGTGTTGTCATTGCCGGCCCCACTCCCCTACCATTAACGTTATTGTTACGATGATCCTCCTCTCTTTCCATGTTAAGTTTTGGTTTTTGTACTCTAACCACCAAAAAGTAATAAATATATAAACTTTACAATTCATTTTTTTGATCATCATTCAAATACAAATCAATAGTATTTTCGACATTTGTTGTCAATTTGGTCATGCTTCATATAAATCAGCGGATTGCTCAGTTGGATGACATTTTTTTGACCTTTTTTATGTTTAGTTTTGTAATCAAATGAAAAAAGATACAAATATACATGTTGCAGTTAGAAATACATCTTATTTATTTTACGTCATGGTATACATATAAGATGGATGCTTTATATCGGTTTGTTTGACATTTAACGAGCTTAATTTACTATTCAGAACTTGTAAAAACATCTCCAACAGATTCTTTAGAATGGGAAAAATGCAGTTTTTGTTATCTGTTTTGCTCCAACATGATCTCTATATTGTTTTCTAAAGGAGCGAAAACTAAGGAAATTTCAAGTTAAAAAATTCTCTAAAACTTGATATACTGAGAGAGAAACTATTTTTATTCATTCCCACCGGTGAGATTGACATGTTTTTCGTATCAATTATTTTTTTAAAAGTGTATCAGATAATAATTTATAGAATATTTTAATAATATAATGAATGTTGAAATCTCTAAAATGGAGAAACCATCGTATTTAAATGTAATTCTTTAAGCATCCAATAACTTTTCATTTAAGAAAGTCCAAATTACCGGTAAAACTCAATATTTCAAAAAGTCAAGGGTTTAAACCTCGGTAAAGATGATACAGATACATATATTTATCTGTCATATATTAGTATTATATATCTATACTATATTATAAAGCATTTGACAAAAACTCTTAAAAATCATTTTTTATACATGAAGTACTGTTTATTGATGCATACTACTTAAAATTCAAGATTACAAGTAAATAATGCATAAGTACAACTTATTGAAGCTCCATACTTGAATTCGTGTAACTAACTATAGATAAACATAATCAAATATTGGATAAACATTTCATTTTAAATATATCTAAAATATAATTAGGATAATTATTGAATTCGAATAAAGTACTTAGTTATTATCTTTATAAAAATTATATTATTAAAACAAAAATAAATTACTTCGTCATTAAATCTAAATTAAATTATAACAAAAAAATTGAATTAAAGAGATTACACAAAAAATGGAACTTTTACATATTTTTTAATTTTTATGATATTTTCAAATTTATATTTATAAGAAAAACATTATTGTTTGTTTAAAACTACACAAATTTGTATTATAACATCGATAGAAACCCAAAAAAAACTGAAACATTGAACTTGAGATATATCTCGCTGTATTGCGTGAGTAACTTTATAGTATTTCAAAATAATGATATTAACTTTTGATTCAGATTGATTAAATGTAATCATAAATTATTGAAAAAAAATCAATATTCTTTAAAAAGAAAAAAGAAATTAAAACATCCCAAGTAAATTCTATTTATGAAACTTTGTAACCATTTGATCAGTCTTTGTCGAAATAGCCATGTGCAATGTATTTTATAGTCAAATATGTACGTTTCAAGTGTAATGGAGGCTTAATTATTATATATTGGTTGGTAAGAAATGAAATTAATGTTTTTTTTTAGTAACCGTAGATTTTCGGGTCAGATTACGCGTACAGCTAATCTCGCGGGCGACCATGACGGCTTGGAGTCATCGCAGGTAAATCTTCATGACATCTGTATTTTGATAATTGAAAAACTTGTTATTATTAGATTATTTCAGTAATATTTAACTGGATATGATGAAAAGTTCATAAGTCACTGAAACTTGGAATCAAAAATGATTTCAGGAAACATGCCAAAAAGACGACAGACGATGAAGCGAGTCTCCAGCAATCACTTGTGTGTTCAAGAAACGTTGATCTACCAAGAGAATAAATCGAAACACATAATTTCAAACATGAATTTGAATAAATGCATGTGTTTTTTTTTTTTAATTTCATGGTATATATTGATTTTAAGTAATATAACTTTTAGAATATTATCGTTAGTTGGTTTCTTACTTTTTGTTATATTTACGTTTTCATAACTTAAGAAAGACTTCATCAAAATCCTATGAAAACGAATAAACACGCAAATTCTTGGAATGATTAGAGCATGAGGATATGGTCCCAAGGGAATGTTATATGCACGTCATTCTATGTGAAAAGTAGGTTTTGATGTTGATGTGTCTGATACAAAAATTAATAGATAAAAATGCATTTAACAATATATAAGGTTCATCAGTTTGCTAACCCCATAATTTAAATGGTTTGGTGTTATAGTTTTTATAGATTTTGTGGTTGTAGAAGGATCATTGAATGTGGTGGCCATAAGATTGAGATATGGGATTGGTTAATGTGTTAAAGATAAGAAGATTAGACTGAGCCAAAGGATGAGGTTAGAATGCCACTTTTAGGTCTTGCCCAATCAAAAAGATAATAAACATTAAACCTCCAATCAGATCTTTTAGAGGGAATTCAAATCATAATAAATAGATATTATTATTCGGTTAAATAAAAAGTTAAAGATAAAATTTTATAAAAAAATATGCAAACTATTTGATAAATCAACTGATGACTGATAAGTTAACTGTTAGCTTATAAGTTAGTTGATAGCTGATAATCTAGTTGTTAGTTTATAAGTTTAACTAATGAACAAATTATGTTTTGCAAAACTAGCTTGTATGAGTGTAAAATGACCAAAAAGTACATATTAAAGAATTAATCAATTATGATATTTTAAAATATAATTGAAACAAATCTCTAAAATATAATTATGATATTAAAAGAATTTGATTATTATATATATTATAATATTTGATTTTGTTAAAACAAACTTTAGAAAAATTATATTATTTATACTTTTTAAATAACCATTACATATAATATGAATAAAAATAAAAATAGTCAACCTTACACATCCTAATTAATCAATAAAACTTTGAAAAATATATTTAATAATCAAATTAAGTATCTTCATTAAAATTATTTAACACAATTTATTGTCTACGAAAGAAAATAAGTATAACTTTAATTTTTATCTATTTTTAGATGATTACTTTTTTTTTATTAACCTGGATATCCAACCCGCTATGCGAGCCAACTAATCTCAGGGCGACCACCTGCTTTGCAGATAGCCCGGAGTCATCGCATTTGAACCTCTGTGGCTACAAGAGAATTTTTATTTATCTTTGGATTTGAACCTATGATTAATAATTATTGTAAGCAATTAATTAATAAAATTAAGGTAAAATGTATTCTTAAAATTAATTGAAATTAATTAGTATTTGTAATATTTACTATCATTAGTAGTACTTAAATTCTATTAATATTTATTTACAATTAATGTTAACATTATATTTATGTTTATTAAATAAATGTAATTGTATTTTTTTAGTATTTGTTTTATTAATTGTTGAATAGTATTTTAGGTATTCCATAAAAACTACATTGATTGTTTTCATAAATCTAGAATTTAAACCTTATAGTTTTTGTATCTTTTTGTGTTCTGTATGTTTCACTTGTATCTTTATCTAGAAGGTATGATCAATGCTCGCCAAACAAAATGCTAATAGCTATCAACAACGTGTGTTTTATATACGTTTTCTTTTCATATCAAGTAAACGAGATAAACAACTGTATTTTTTCAACCATAAAAATGATACCAAAAATGAAAAAAGTTTGGAAATATTCATCCATCGATCACTTACATAAATCAAATCAACGATCAATCAAATAGTGCTTCAAGA